TTTTTCGTCGCGCTGTGATGACGTCACATACGCGATTTCGTCGACCGCGCTTTTGTGGAACGCGCTTTTGACGGGTCACGCTTTTAGCTTGGAGTGTTGGGTCCCTGTTGCTCGTTTCAGGTCCAAGGTGTGGTGCTGTCTCCCAAAACTCTTATCGAGGGAGTGAAGGCTGCCCAGATTAAGTCTGAGCGTTTGTGGAGGAGAACCCCCCGCCCCCGCATGCCTTGGGCCAAAGACATCCTTTCCCTGGCGCAGCCGTCATCTCTGCAGTTGGAAAAGAGGCCCAGGAGGAGGATTTGGGATCCAAACAGATGTTCAGCAGCTGGGCACAACGGCTGCTCCCCGTAAGCGGAGGGAATGGCCCCTGGGAAGGGCCCCTGGGCTCCCAGGGCCACCTGAAGGGCCCGAGGCAAAGAGGGCTGGTGCAGAGTTTGCTGGACAACTGCCTTTCTCCCTTGAGCCCGGCTCTTTGGGTCAGATCCTGTGGGCTCTGAGAGACGGGAGCTGCACTGGGTGGAGAGACCCCTTTGCCGATCACAGGAAACCTTGAAGGTGTGAGACGGATTCCAGACAGAGGAGCCTCTCCTTTCAAGGATGGGGGACTCTCTGGCCCTCCCTCTGCTTTTCCATCCCATCTCCCATCTTCCCTGGTGTCTAAGAGCAGTTAGGATCCAGCCCTTGGGACACCACCCTTTCTCCAGCCTTCCAGAGACTTGGTGGAGAGAGGGGGACAAAGCTGGCATGCTGACGTGGAGGAGGGGAGAATCACATCCGGCTGCCCATATCAACCGGGTAGCCAGCAATCCTTCCAGCCTGCTCCAGCCTCCCGATGGCCATGGGAAAGAGACCTGGATGTCCCCAGCTGCACTGAGGGAGGGAGGGAGGGCGCATGATGGCCCTGTGGCCTGTGAGGAGAAGGGGAGTGGGGAGAATGGGGAGGGGGCTTTGCCCATTGCAGTTATGGAGCACTTACTTCCATCTGGATAATCCCCACTTGGGCCGGTGCCAGGAGTGGGGGTATCGTGCTTGGTGCGTATCCAGGTGCCTTGGTTAGTGCCACAGGTCTGGGTCCAGTCGCAAAAGGGCCAGGAGTTGTTGTTGAAGTCACAGCCGGCCAGGTAGTCTGAAATGGGGAGGGGGATGCAGTGAAGAACAGGCAGAACCCCTCCCCAGTAGCCTATCTCAACCTGGCAGTCCTGAAAAAGGACCCCCATCATCCACAGCCAGTCAGCTGGCAAGAAAACCCGAGAAGGGGCTTCCAGGATATTTGAGAGCTGGGGGGGGGGTTGAGAGAAGCTGCTTTAAGGTACCTGGCAGGAATGAGGTGGGGGCTATACCTGCATTGTGAGTCCAGCTCTCCAAACCAGCCGCCCAGTTGCCTTCTTCTCTCCTGCCAAGCAAACAGGGGACAAGTAAATGAGTAAANTTAAAACCTGGCTGTTCCATCAGGCCTGGGGCTGTTGACCTTAGTGTTAAGTTCCAGCCCCGATTAGAACGTATGTGTGTTGTGAATTTTAATTATTTTTTATTTATTTTGCTTTTCTTTTTCTTCTTCTTTCGTTGTAAGCCGACGGAAGTCCTCCGGGATTGGGCGGCCTATAAATTTAATAAATGAAATGAGTCATTCTCAGATATAACTTCCCTCTCTTTTGCTACCCCAGTCAGAAATCTTGCAGTAATTTAATTTGGCAAAATATGTGCATCTTACCAAACGTGATTTCGCAACTTTTGTCTTCAAATACATTGCAATTCACTGCCACTCATTGTCAGATCACTGGGTCAAGGATACTATGTCACTCTCCACATCTTTTTTTAAAAAAAAATTAGTAATAACAAGGTCATTCTTTCAAGTGTTGATTTAAAATTATTCATTATTGCAGCCGTTTTTTTTCCTTCCTTATCAGGTCGACTGTTACACAAATAGGAACCGAGTTTGTTGTTTTAAAAATTAATTACAATAGCGGAATAGAAGCATATGTTTTTTATTTGCATTTGGTCCGTTGGACTTCCTGGGCATATAATGCATAATTAAAGAGGTAAGATTAATTGTATTAGTGTTGCTGTAAATGCAGAGATGGAAATACGTTTTTGATCAAGCAAGCCCCTAGCTCCTTTAACCTGCTGGAGAGCGGCAAGAACTTTCTAATGATGTGATAATATCACTGGGAAAGGGTAGATTTATTTATTTTTTAATTTGAAGGGATGTTAACAATGGGAATGGGAGCGGGACATTTCCAGAAACCCCCATTTTAATTCACTAACCTCCCTTCTCCCGGCCCAGATTGTGATTAGCTGGTTGAATGTTTATGGCATAAGTTCAGGCTGCTTTTAAAGTCCCCGGATGGCTTTAAAACTTCATTTGAGACCAGTTTATCTCCTATAACTTCTGGCTCTCGTCCATTTTTGCCAGTAACTTTGGATGACATCATTTTGGGATTCTGGTAAGGCGCAGGTAGCCCATAGGCCCTGGGTTCTTGTAAATAAAAATTCTATTCCTCTACATTGGTGCATTTTCATTTTTCCTTCCTTCCTTCCATTTTTGCCTTCTTTCACTGCATTTCACTCCAGCTGGTCCAGAATGCAGCCGCGCGAGCGATTGTGGGTGCACCCGAGAGGTGTTCTAATGAGAAACAAGATGAGTCCTTGGATTAGTTTGGATTTA